CGTTCGTTAACAAACCCGACGGCGGCAACGGAAAGATCACCAGGAGAACGAAACGAAAATGGAGGAAATACGAATCTGAGGAGAAGCCAGAGACTAGCGGAGACACGACTGAGAAAAATCGAGAAGGCGGAACCAGTAGCGGCAGGTGAAAGTACGGGCGCAGCAGTGAACACGTCAAGGAGAAGGCATAATTATGATGTTGAATGTATATAACGAGCAGTCTATTCTTATTATTCTTTCATTCAACATCATATGCCTCCACTGATGAGCTCAGGAAATTTAGCAGCATCGGATGCAGCATAGCCCTGACTGGAGTGAATGCCCCATGTGCCTCTCAGTGTTTCAAGTGGCTGTTTTGCGGCGGAAGATGCTGACTGAAGGCGCAGGCAACATCAGTGTAGATGGTCAACAGATTTGGCGGCGTGGTGTGGCTGTGTGCGACGGGCTGGCAGGACAGTGAATGCGTCAGGGGCCTCTGGGTCTGCCGTGTTGGCCAGTTGGCTTCGTCGTTCGTTCCCCATCACGTCACTATGGGACAAGAACAGTCAGCCGCAGTATCTTTGTATTTGTGGCACTTGCAATAACTAACTTTTCTGGTGTTAGACTGACTGCTGTTTTGTGCACCCCCCCCTTTTCACGCGTGCTCCATGTTCCTGTCCCAGCCATGAGCGCGTGTCGTTATCACCTGACCTTGTTATCACTTTTGTCATTTTTGTCACTTAGGGTATGCCACGTTTCTATGCAGAATGAGCGCAATTGCGCCAATTTAGCCCTAAAAAGATCAGTCTATTCTTATTATTCTTTCATTCAACATCATATGCCTCCACTGATGAGCTCAGGCGGAGCGAAACAGCTGTCTGGAGGGTCATTGTCAATATCAACCTATATACCGGAATTGTCCTCGCTGTGGTGATGGTGATGTGAGTGCAGAGTTTGGATCGGCCAAGAGCGCAATGTGGTCGTGTGGTGTATTGGATTCCAGAAAATAACTGACAACAAAAGAATTGTAAGCAGCAGCTTTTATACACAGGCAGACTCCGTACACTAATGTACGGGGATACGCTAACCTATGGGGATACGGATTTGTAAACTCTCCGGCTTCATCCATATGCGTCACAACGATCCTACCGACTTTATCGCCTCATGCATGAAGGAAGTGCATTGTGATGTTGAGGTGGAGCCGAAGCTCCAACCTCTCACTGGTGAGGTCCTCCAGCGACGCACCGCCAACACCGACCCGGATGCCCGCGCTGACCTGAGAGTGAGGGGGTTCTGGACGGATAGCAGAAACGCATTCTTTGATACAAGGGTGTTCTATCCCCATGCGTCAAGCTACCGCTCCAGATCCCTCTCCTCTCTGTACCGAAGCTTTGAAGGGGAGAAGAAGCGTGCGTATGGGGAGAGAATTCTCCACGTCGAGCATGGTTCCTTCACCCCTCTGGTCTTCTCTTCCTGTGGGGGGATGGGCCACGAAGCTGCCATCACGGTGAAGAGGCTGGCAAGTGCTTTAGCCGTGAAGAGGCATGCGCCGTACAGCCAGATGGTGTGTTGGCTCAGATGCATGCTAAGCTTTTCGCAAGCCAGGTCTGCTATTCGCTGTGTCCGTGGATAACGCTCAATTCGCCGCCGTCACTTTGACCATGCCCCTGTCGACCTGGTCCGAGCAGAGGCACAGCTGGTGGTCAGCTAGACAGTTGTCATCATGTTTAATTTCTTTAGTTCTCAATCTATCATTTTCATGCCAGGCGTGAGCCAGCCCCTGGCTTAACAAAATGGGTGCTTCTTTTAGTTTAGTTTTTCTTCTCTTCTTCTTTTTATTTTGCTTTGCCCGTACAAGAGGCTTACTTCTATCCTGAAAAAAAACAACCTATGGGGATACAGTAGGGGGATATTCTAACGTACGGGGATACAGTCACGTACGGGAATATGCTAACGTACGGGGATAAGCTAAAATATCCGCTATATGCTAAACACTATCCGCTATACGCAGTGAAAGTTCCAAGCCTGCCCACGCTACATCTCCCCTCTCAAAAACAATCACGTCCTCGTGATTCGAATACTCGGTGATAGCTGGACACCAACAACCGGCAGCGATTTTGAAGAAACTGGCGGCATGCATGGTCGAGTCGGAATGCACTCGACGATAGGAAATAGGCAGAATGGATGACTTGCATACAGGTATGTATTCGTGAACAGCCTCGGTTGATATCCGGACGCAACGAAAGCAAGTGACATTGAACATTATAGTAGATCACGAATTATTGCGAGAGCTTCAACCGGGATATGGCAAATAATATCGGAAATGATAACGTTTGGAATAGACAGAAGAATGAACTGATAAACAAATCATAAAGCATAAGCACACCAGGTTCACACAATCTCACGGGGCCAAAAGGAAAAGAACCGTCCTCCAAATAGGACCTGAAAAACCACAGCACTATTGCTGCACAACTCTGGCACAACCTGCCAGCAAAACCGCAGGTCAGAACCGAACTTAATACAATATAAGGGGCATTGACACACACATTGTCCCAGGTTAGCTAGGTAGACCATGGCTCGCCATGATCGGATGCCTACCGAACTAAACTGGACTCACTCACTCGCGTAAAGGAAGACTCAAGAGAACAGGAAGACGGAAGGAAGACAGGAGAGAAAATGCCATATCAGGAATTAGCTTACGTTGGGCATGGGGATTAATCGGTAGAGATGCTGTCTTTCATCATTTCTAGCTGTCAATAGATGTGGCAGGCATGTGTAGGAGGAGCGGCAGCTGGTGCATCCGGTTGGACCATGCATTGGGTGAAATAGGCATTCTGTGAACTGGGTATTCGGTGAGTTGTCGTTCGGTGAGTTGTTGGTCGGTGAACTGTCGCTCTGTGAACTGTCGTTCGGCGATAGTATTATTGACAACACCTCATAGCATGAAAAGAAAGTCATCCAGTACGGGAGATGTGGACATGGCGGGACACTAGCTATGCTGGTCGTACGGAACGAGAAACCAATTTACCGCTGCTACCAATTTTATAGCACCGTTGCTACCAATGTAAAACAGGTGGGGTCGAATCTGACAAAGGTAACTTTAACCACCGCTGCCACCAATTTTGTAGCGGCGCCGCAGTCTCTCGGAGGCAAGAGAATGCACAAGGGTCTCAGTGAACACACTGGTAATTATTAAACATTGAACTGAATTGAAATGCAACTTTAACTGACAATGAAATTTTTAATTGGCAATGAAATTACTGGCAATGAAATTAACTGACAACAAAAGAATCGTGAGCAGCAGCTTTTATACACAGGCAGACTCCGTACACTAATGTACGGGGATACGCTAAAGTATGGGGATACAGTACGGGGATATTCTTAAGTACCGGGAAACCCAATTCGCGGACGACATCATGCTACACGATAGCAGGAAGGACAAGGTAGTGCTGTCACACAACCTGTCTTCAGCCATCACCCATCTCAGCAACTGGCTTGGTGAGCGCAACCTAATCCTGAATAGTCCAAAATCACAAATATTGTTTATTCCTGCCAATCGTCATGACGACAAGACATTGAATGTGCACTGTGCAGCTACACTCCTCCAGCAAGTGACAAGCGCCAAGTACCTGGGCTTGCACATCGATGACGACCTGAAATGGAACACAATGGTTGACCATACAGCCAAGACAGTGTCCTCAAAGATTGCCATTCTCCTCCGCCACAGGCAGTGCCTCCCAATGCCATGCCGCTCAACCTACTTGAGATGTATAATTTTACCCACATTCCAATACGCATGCAACAGCTTTTCCTCTTCCCTTTCCTCTGCACAACGTGATCGTCTTGAGAAACTTCTCAAGCAAGCTGTGCGTGTTGTCTGCTCTGCTCCCTTCCTGTCTGCAACTGCCCCTCTTTTTGAACGCCTCAGCATTCAACCCCTGCAATCAATGTATTGCCGCAAACTCCTCCTGCTAACCTTTAGTGTAATTCATAATGACTGTAGTGTGCTTCTTCATGACCTCGTTACACTTCTGTCACACACCCGTCGAACGAGGAGCACAGATGTTCCCCTGCTTCTTTTCCAGAGGATCATATCTGCCGCCGCCACACACAGCCCTTCATATTAATGTCCCACTCTCTGGAATAAGTTGCCTGCATCTATACGATCACTGAAGAAAACAGGTCAATTCCGGACCGCTCTCTTACCCCACCCGAAAATTCACTGACTAACGTTGCTCACTGATCAAATAATTATGCAATCTTTCCTCTGCTGTCTTGAATCCTACTCTATGTTTCTTTTTCTTTAAATCTTTTCCTTGCATTTGTGTGCCTGTAACTTCAGTCGATCTCATCTAACAAGGCAACACTGCCTGTTTGTTATTCGACGTTAAATAAACCAATCCAATCCAATCCTTAAAGACGAATGTCCATCACCACTTGCATCAAAATAATGGGCTCTGGGCTACGGACTCCCTGTGAGGCTGTCACCCGTCAATGTGCAACTACCCTCGTCCATCATCTCTTTCTTTCTTGTTTTATTTTATTTCTCTTTCTCGTGGCTCTCTCTCTCTTTTCTTTCTTTCTCTTTTGACCTCCCTCCCTGCCTAGCTACATTCCTATTGATGCCTGGTCGTAGCCTATGATTCCGAGACCTCCGGTCGGACGAGCCTCGCCAACAACATCGGACCATCGCCCCTACTCCCCTTTGTCTTGTTGTCCAGTGTCATTTCAGTTGTCCTCTTCCCTTGATTATTATCAGGGCTGTGTTTTCTAGTAAAAACAATTGTATAATCATGTACAGTCATGACATGTGCTCTCTAAGGGTGCGTTCCTAAGTCCTCTCGGAAAAGTTAAAGACTCTCGGAAACGTTCGAGAGCTGTTTCTTCGACTTCTCCTTTCTTCTTCTCCGGGAAGCTAGAGAATATAAGAACGCACCCTGACTCTCTATGTAGTACCACACTTCTCCAGTGGCTGAAATGTCAACACTCAATCATGGAATAGCCCATAACAGTTATACAAGTATGTTACAGTATTAGATTCCAATGCTTTGAGTTCTTGGACCACTATTGTTCTCAAATCCTGCTGAGTGTAATACCAACTTTGCGTCGACTATACATATGCAATAAGTGATGCCAACACATGGATGAAAAGCAAGAGAGATGCAAGTGAGCACGGCAGTGCACAACAGAAATGAGTTCGAAACGTGTAGATAGGAAATAGGTAAAACGTGGATGCGACCCAAGTGCAACAGAACTATGGTTTGAGTATGTTCCACATTGAACTGCCAAAAGTGTACCTGCAGATATTGAAATGATATAGAACGCAGTGAATGAAGAGAAAGGAAAATAACCTACTTGGAAAGTGTCCTATTGACATGCCACGATGTAGAAGTGGGTCATTGAAATACATGCGTTAGTTACTACACAGTTCTTCAACGTGAAAAGTGGCTACCAGTCGGTTACCACCATGAGAACTGTACCCATCGTACATGTAACCGCTACTGGATAACTGGGTGAATTTGGTGGATAGCTTGAGTGGACCAGCAGTGTTGATATTACATATGCCACTGATAGAGCCAGGAGTCACACTGCGATCATCACCGCTGATCGCATAACCGGTTACACCACTTCTTATAGGACCAGGATTTAGACATTCCGTGTTGTTTATGAGAATAGAGATAGTGAATGAATTCCAGTCAGAAGTACGCCCAGAGCCGAATGCTGACGTGTAGGTTACCCGCAACACAGTGTCACTGCGTGTCTTGTTGTACATCACATTCCATGATGCTCGATAGCGGCTGTTTCCTGTAGTTTGTCTGAACGACTTCCACGCCACCACACCACACTGTACAAGTAAACACAATGGGACACAGTGCAAAGTTTACAATCAGAATGATTGTGTGATCAAAAATGACTACAGTACCAGTAGTGTATCCCACATGCCATGCAGGATACAATATTCATTGTTGATCACACTTTATGATGGTAGAAGACAACCTGGCAGTCGTATAGCATTATTGGTTTCTGACGCTTATTATTCTGTAAGGCAAATGTAACTCTGTGTGGTTTCAACCATACGGCTTCTACAACTTGTGTGCACCCGCCTGCATAAACCGCAAGTGTTGCCACATCGATATCACTTACTTCACTCGAAATCTTTGGTCGAATTTGATTACACTTAACTTATTTATTTATTTATTCACAATCACGTGGCACTAGCCAATGAAATGGTGATATGGGCGATAGCCAGCCATGGTGGTAATAGAGCTAGAGGGGAGAAAGAAAAAGAACGAAAGGGGAACTGAAAAGCAGGAGAAGCTAGGGCAGGGCTGGATATCAACTAGTATGTTGCATTCTGCAGTAGCTGTGTGAATGTATTGTAACATTGGCAGCTTAGCTTGATAGGTAAGTGTTCAGTCTAACTCTGGCTTTTACTGCCTTGTGTCAGTTTAAAATTGCTTTGTCATTCACTAGACTTCTTTGTGATCGATTTGGCCAGTGACTCTGAGCTCCGCTGAGATCAAAAAAGATTCAAACAACTAGCTTTCCCCAAATTGAGTACTATGCTGCCTTGTCCCGGCTTGGTTCAGCATTCTTTCTGGTTGGCCTCAAAGTTATGTGCCGTGGACAAGACTCGCTATGTTTATTGCAGTTATAGCACCCGGACATGGAAGCAGGTTAAAGATGTCGTGCCGATTGTTTTGACCAGTAACTATGAGTTCCACTGACGAGATCTAACAAAGTCTAAACAGCTAGCTGACCGGAGATAGAGTATTTTGCTCCTCCACCCTCGCTTTGGGCAGCACTCCTCCTGGTTACGGTCAAATTCATAACGATACCATCGTGCAACGCCTTCTGGATTTACCACAGTTAGAACACTCAGACCTTTTAAAAAATGCGTTGAACTGGTCTAAAAATTCTTTATCGTTCAATAAAATGCATTGTGATTGACTTCGCCAGTTCCTGTGTGCGCTTGGCTGAACATCCTCTACGACATGGTGACAACAGAGGACGATTGTGAGATATGCTGGTTGCATGCACCATCCCAGCGCAAGGACCCTCTCCGTGCCACAGAAGGCGCTCGTTCTACCCGTTCCATTTAATTTTTGTCAGTGAAGATCTCCTATTATTACACGTTCTGTGTCGATCTGGGCCACAATAAATGTTGGCCCGGAATTCATCAACAATTCTAACTAAGCAACTTCACCTTGGCAAGTTGCCAACAACACTTCCACCCCTAGACTCTTCCAGTCTATGTGGATTGAGTGCTAGTGTTAAGATTGAATGTCAGATATGGAAGAAACCTCTGGATGCAGATCTCTAAAGCCCTGCAGTAGCTAGCTTACCTTTTGTCCTTCCTCCTTTAAACTAGCATTGATTGCTGCGAATTGTTTAGCAGAATGCTGCTTCATTGCACTTAATTGTTGCTTGGTCTGTGAGAAATAAGACGCGCACAAAATTTGGTTGAAGAAAAAGCCTTTCAAAGGACCAGATATTTGATATCTCGCAAACATGTAAAGAGCGCCGCCTCCTGTGGCTGGGGCACGTTGCCCGGGAAGGACCAGACGCAGCCTCTTACAAGGCACTGCAGCAAGCTCTCAATACTTCGGACATCAAGCGCCCCCGTGGACGACCCCACAAGAGATAGGTCGACAACATTAAAGAAGACTTCAAACCTCTGAATGTGCCGATTCAGGACTGCCTAAACCTCGCCACCAACAAGTAACTCTGGTTAATGATCATTGACAGATGCATGGCCCCATATGAGTTGTTTTTGCGGGCAATATGCGATCTGTTTATATTATCATTATTATTATTTTCACTAGTTTGAGGGAAAGAGACGAACGGGAAAAGTCTGAAGAAAAAATTGACTGTCACCACCAGGACTCGAACCAGGGACCCTCGCTTGTAGCTAACGATGCCCTAACCATTAATGTTATTATTATTATTATTACTTGAAGTATTTTAAAACGAAGGTAAGTTATGGGTCGCAAATATCCACGCAAACACACATCCAGTCATAATAAGGCACTTGTCATAAGTATCCGAACGTTTTCGGTCCCTTCTCATCAAGGATTATACAGGGAATGGCTCAAGCTGGAAAGACTAAAACTTATATAGCGTAAAGATAATTAGATAACAACACTCGTGACAAGGTGGAAAATTATCAAGTTTAGCACGACACAAAACTCGAAGGAAAATAATAATAGTGACAACAACATAGTGAGCAAATTAAGTTACATTGTTACCACCTCGACGAGGAGTAACACCAAACAATTGTAGCGACAACACATTTTCTTTCTGTACGCAAAGTTCAGGATCTAACTTACTAACTTACTTAACTGCGCAACAACACTGTACCACAATAAGTCCATTACTCCGCCGTCTTTGAACGAAACGGAGTTTGTGAAACTCATGTTAATGGTTACGTCGGGCGTTGAGTTTTCATTTGGCAACGTTATGTATAAACAAATAGGTGGCGTTGCCATGGGCTCGCCGCTTGGTCCTGTATTGGCTAATATCTTTGTAGGGTTCTGTGAAGCGTCCATTAGTCCATCATTGTAGCCCTCTATATACTGTCGTTTTGTAGACGATGTGTACTGTCACGGTGAGGATGAGGATGTCTGTGGGACTTTTCTACTAACTCTGAATAGCCTCCACCCGGCGTTGATATTCACGTCGGAAGCGGAACAAAACGGCAGCTTATCCTTCTTGGATGTACAAATATCATGGAATATTAACACTAAGAGTTTGGACACCACTATCTATAGGAAGCCAACGTTCACCGGCCTCTACATTCCGTGGGGGAGCTATACTCCAACGAAATCGAAGAGACATCTTGTGAAGGCGCTAGTTTATCGTGCACATAGAATATGTTCCCCTCATCTATTGCAGGACGAATTAGACAGACTGACATCAATATTTACGAACAACGGCTATCCAAAGGAATTTCTGGCCAAGCTAATCAACGAAAAATCGGTGACAGACAAGCCTATCCAATTTGGACCTGACCGTTGCCCAGTGGTGCTCCGTTTATCCTGGGTTGGCACCGGTTCTGCACGCGTGGAGAAGGATGTTCGTGGTATCGTATGTCCATCATATCCGTGCGTCAAGCTGTACGTCATATTTGGGACAGTGCGTGCGTTCAGTGTGAAGAAGGATGTTCTACCTACCCTTAGTAAAAGTAACCTTATCTATTTCTTTCAATGCCGACAATGTGAAGATCGGTATGTAGGTAGAACCCTTCAGCACCTGGGCGCACGCATTCGTCAACATGTGCCGTTAAGTTGTGTTCCGCTTGATGCGCGCGATTGTCGTCCTCGCTGTGGTCGTCCTCCAAAATGTGCTGTCCAGTCCATCGGTGGATCTTCCTCTTCCCGTGAAGATGTGACTGCATGCCCGTCCTCCTCTGCGTGTGTAGGACACGGGCCAGCTGAGAACAGCATAAAAGATGGTGAAAGACCCACACGTAAACCACCGAAACTGACAAAGGATCTGTCGGCGTCGGAAAGGGTGACGAGAAGCCAAGTGAAAATACGGACTGATGAGGACGAACGTACAATGACAACGGAAGTGACAACAACAGTCAATATTCGAAAACGTGGTAGACCGCGAAAACTAACCTCAATATCGGACACCGGACAAGTTGGAGTAAGAAGCTCAATAGAAATCCGCAATGGAGGAGACGTAACGGAAAGGACACCGGGTATCGCGCACCCAACGGTTAGTGTCAAGAAACGTGGAAGGCCGCGGAAACGCGAAGAGACAGATAGTGGTGATGCCACGAAGAGGCGAGATGACGGGACATTGGAGGAGACAACACCCAATGGAGCTAAGAATCGCACTTCGCCAATCAAGCAACATCTGTCAGCCCGTACCAATTGTCGTGAGTTGTACAGTGATAATGTTTTCTCAATATTGTCACGTGGTAGATGTGCGTTACATTTGGCTGTGTTAGAAGCTTTGTATATCCGTAAGTTAGATCCTGAACTTTGCGTACAGAAAGAAAATGTGTTGTCGCTACAATTGTTTGGTGTTACTCCTCGTCGAGGTGGTAACAATGTAACTTAATTTGCTCACTATGTTGTTGTCACTATTATTATTTTCCTTCGAGTTTTGTGTCGTGCTAAACTTGATAATTTTCCACCTTGTCACGAGTGTTGTTATCTAATTATCTTTATGCTATATAAGTTTTAGTCTTTCCAGCTTGAGCCATTCCCTGTATAATCCTTGATGAGAAGGGACCGAAAACGTTCGGATACTTATGACAAGTGCCTTATTATGACTGGATGTGTGTTTGCGTGGATATTTGCGACCCATAACTTACCTTCGTTTTAAAGTATTATCCGCCTCCGACCTCTTTAAAAAAATTATTATTATTATTATTATTATTTGAAACTCGGATGTTGAGCCATAAATAAATGTGGAAGAGAAAAGGACATATGGATACGAGTTAAGAGTAACTCTCCATCACTGTAACATGATACTATATACAGTCAGAAAGTGCAATAACTAGGCACAAAACTGACAGAGTACTGAGACATTCGACGTCCTGACACCTAGCTTCAACACATCTCCGTAGCGCTAACCGACAGCCTTCCAACTTGGAAGGTTCAAGGTTATGGAAAAGACCAAAGAGGGGAAGGCAAGCGCAACGAAAACGAGCAAAAGCTACAGTCCCAACGAACAAAGAATGTCGATTGTTACTGGACGATGACGAGACCAGTACGATATTTGACAAAGCGGTCTAACTACAATTCGAAGCAGCAAAGCAGCACACCACCCAACTTGGGCGGGTCATAAATATCAAAGATAAGTAAAGAAAGGGAAGCTTTGCGAAAACGAATTGTAGTTAGACCGCTTTGTCAAATATCGTACTGGTCTCGTCATCGTCCAGTAACAATCGACATTCTTTGTTCGTTGGGACTGTAGCTTTTGCTCGTTTTCGTTGCGCTTGCCTTCCCCTCTTTGGTCTTTTCCATAACCTTGAACCTTCCAAGTTGGAAGGCTGTCGGTTAGCGCTACGGAGATGTGTTGAAGCTAGGTGTCAGGACGTCGAATGTTTCAGTACTCTGTCAGTTTTGTGCCTAGTTATTGCACTTTCTGACTGTATATAGTATCATGTTACAGTGATGGAGAGTTACTCTTAACTCGTATCCATATGTCCTTTTCTCTTCCACAATTATTATTATTTGCTATTCATTATATGCCTGGGATACAGGATTGGTTTCCTTACCTTACGCCCTTCTTCCTCCAGAGTGGTATTGATTGCAGAAAACTGTTCTGCAGAATGTTGCCGGATCGTCCTGAAGTGTTGCTTGGTCTGGGAAATATTTCAAACACATTCAAAGTGCAAACCAGCGAGCTTGTATCTGTGACTAGGAGGATAGCCAAATGTTACCTAATGTGATGTTGTGTAATGTTCCAAACGAAGCAAGTGAAAATACTGGGCCGCTCTCGCAGGATGTTACTTTATCGTTTTGTGCTTTTGATCTTTGAACCGTTCGGTTCGGAAGTCAGTGTTGTGCCAATTTACGGCACGTTATGACTCGCCAGTATCTAGCTGATATTTGCATGTGTTGAACACAAACAACGGAAACTTGTAGACTTCTGGTCCTTCTCTTTTCTTACTAGGGTTAGCATGGCTTTTTCTGGTTTCTGGGACTTGCACCCACAATTATAACAAGAAAAAACACACTCGATCCATTGTGTAATGTGATATTGTTGAGATACTGTATTGATTCACGTACCTTCTGCCTCTCTTCCTGCAGAGTGGCGTTGATTGCTGAAATCTGTTCAGCAGAATGTTGCTGGATGGCCCTGGAGTCTCGCTTGGCCTGGGAATTATTTCATATACAAAGAACAAACCAGCTGACTTGTATAATGTGGCCAGAGGGACAGTGAAATGCTAGCCTGTTTGATGTTCTGTTCGAAAGTAAGTTACAAGTAGTAAGGATATCAGGCGGCTCTTGCAGGAAGTTGTTAGTTTTACGTTAAAAAAAATCTTTTGATCCGCTCTGTTGGTTGCTTTCTATTCACATCCAGACACAGCTGGATAAAATATTTCAAATGGAGACAGTACTCGGGAGAATGAAGTTGAAGACACCACTGCAGCTGTACTTATGGTTGATAAATATGGTGGTAAAGACACACCTGGTAATATGACGGTAAACACACGCCTGCCCACACATGTTCTCTAGGCTGCAAAGTTCTGGCACAGAGCTCTCCTTCTCACCACCACCACCATCAGTTCGCGCCTGGCGCCTGGTCGATGCATGGCTGGCGGTATCCGGCATAGCAGGATGGTACATCAAGTTGCGCTTGGCACATATATGATGACACAGCAACGACATAGCTCGATTGCGACAGTACTGCTTCATGTATTAAGAGAGTATGTTTGAGAAACCCAGGAAAGCTGGCCTGGGCCATATCTCCGATTTCGCTCAAATTCTGCAAGTAAGTTTCCTGTGGGGTCTACAACAACCAAGCGAAAGGGCTCGTTGCATAACTTACCGACACTTTGGAACTGGGGACCACCTCGAAATGGTTCCAAAAGACGACTGAATATTGAGTAAAAAAAAAGCGTGGGTACAACGCGTACACGATGGAGCTAAGAACAAACCACCACCATGCCAACATCACCTCACCTGAGAAGTCTTCACATCAACACCGCATAGAACCATGGCTATATCCAGGAAAGCAATGGCCATCTTCTCCAAATATCACTAAACTGCATCGCTAAAATAGCCAAATTTCAAGGGCCGTAGCGGGAACCATTTATGGCGTATATTTTCCTGAACCATGCACTGCACGACAGTGGACTATCTCAACTACTACACAGGACATGTCTAGTAAAAGGTTTTCCACGTTTTCTGAAAATAAACAAATTTGAATATTTTCACTTCACCACATTGCAACATCGCCAATTTCCTACCCGACGACCAAAATCGCCTCCTCAAGCTCCAACACTAGGCACCGCTCCAGACGCCAGCACGCCAAACACTGCAGCGTGGTCACCTATGCCGAGTGTGACAAAACATTTGAACTGACAACCCTTGTGACTCCAAACAACAACCATTTCCTTCCCTAAACGGCCTCGAATTCACGAGCAGGAAAGCTCTGCATAGGTGCCAAAAATATTGATCGATATTTTCGCGTCCTGAATGTGCCGTGCACCGACCACCGCGTGACATAGCAGATCGACGGATTTGATCGAGTTGATCGACATTCAAGATCAGAATCAAAATCTGGACGATCACATTCAGGTTGATCAGCAACATGATTTTTACGATGGTATGATGTATGGTGGCATGCTGTTTGAGTGAACCATGAAGAGGCACGATATCCTGGACTTGACGATATGGGATCTAGCTGCAACTTGTTTTCCAGGCAGCTCATTTGACATTTCGACCACGTAGAGCATTCAGGAGCTGCACAAGCAGAAGGTTCTGAGGTTTGTGTGGCGTTGCCAGCACAATCGCGCCAGGCCAGCCCTACGGGACAGGTTTCGAAGTGCTCCTGGAAACACAACCCGCCTCCGGCAAAGACAGGGTTTGCGCCTCCCGCTAGCCCGGTGAGCAGCAGGGGAATCCCGTCCATCGCACTGTGGTGCCGTCCTCTGGAACACCCTCCACAGTGAAGTTCGCCTACTCAACCATTCCAGTTAATTCGCCATAGCCGCACTGCCCTTCACGCTGGCAGGCTAGATCTGCAAACTCCGTGAATTCTCCTCCCTTCTATGTTCGAAGTACCATACTCCTTGAAGTAGTCTGCACCGCACTGCTGTTGCTGTTGCAGTTGCTGTTGCTGTTGCAGTTGCAATTGTTGTTGTTGGTGGTGGTGTTGGTAGTGGTGGTGGTGTTGTCGTCGTCGTCGTCGTTGCTGCTGATGCTGCTGTTGCTGTCCTCTCGTTTCAGAAAATGTTTGCTCGTGCTACTCATCATCCAGTTAAGTTCCTATTATGACTTTGTAGTGAAAAAGAAGAAGGAAGGAAACAATGTTACGAGTTATGACTTATGACTTTGTACGTTGTAATTTTCTTGAGCTCCGGTTTCCCTTTTCATTATCACTCAAGCGCAGTTTAGCGCGTATTGGCTTGTGAGTTCTCGCTCCACATATACTGGCACACACAGAGACATAGACAGCAACAGCGACACTACACAAAGTGAAGGGTAGTTGGCCGCAGCCAGATGTGAACCGAATAACGAGTGAGGTATGGAAGCGAGGACTGAGAACAGAGTGTCTCAGATAGAATAGGCGTGCCAGTGGATAGCAGAAATAGGCCATGATGCAGAACCACTTGGGACCGTCAGATTAATTTTTCTGGACCGAGCCAGCCGGGAGAAAACCCTCGCGCCGACGGACGCAGTTGTGAGAGAAAAAACCAGGTCACGGTGTATATCCCCAATGGTGATTAGGCATCATGTAGGCATGGAAAGCACATCACGGCAAAAAGTGATAAAAAATGATAATATGCACAGAAATGAAGGGTGGGAGGGCAGGGACACTGGTGAGACTCAAACCCGACTGAAGAAGCCAAGAAAAGAAGCGACAATAAAGAATACACCAGATGCCATATTTGCAACTGAAAATATTTCGCGAGAAATCATTTCTCGCCTATCTCGCTGCGCCCGGCTGGCGAGAAATACCACTTCCTTTCTTCTGTTTGCTTTAGCATTTTATCGTTCCACAGGTACCCTCTGTCTCAGGTACACTCATAATTATTTGTGCAATTGTTAATTTTGCTCCTGAATTGTCCCCCCTGTTGCTTTCCTACCGTCCTCCTCCTTTCTCCACCCCATTTCTCAACCTTTTGAGCCCGGGCCCTTTGAAAACCTCTGCCACGCAATAATTTTTTTTAATTCACTTTATGTGAGCAAACTTGATTTCAAACGATTCTTTCATGTATCCTGAGCACAGAACTGTTTTTGTTTTGGAAATACAACAACGATTACAAAAGTTATGACCTTTTCAGAAAGGTAGTTTTACACGAAATTGGTGTTTTGAAATGTATGCTTGCGCGTGTAACTCCAGTTCAAATTCACGGAGCGACTCCCATTTTTTTACTGTACCGGCACATCCTAGGAGTCCTCTGTGCAGCGGTACAGCTAATTAACCCCATTATCACATTCGCTTCCATGTATTTGGGTTTGTAACCCGTGTGTACTTGCGAATTCAAATAAAAATACACATACATCCATACATAGTCGCCACCGGTTTGAGCACGTGCGTTTCAGTTGCACTACGGAGAGATCGACTTGTTGGGTACGGAAATGCATCCACGGCTATTTTGTGCATTGTGTATTAAAGCTGGTCGTGTGTTTTGTGCATTATTTGAGGATTCCTAAAGTCATTTTTGCACGTCACATGTGCATCTGCCTTTTTTCAGTGTACGCAGACTCCACTGCAGCCAGTCCCGGGCCATCACCAGGATCGATTCTAATGCTTTTGTCCTGCAAGTCTAGGTTGTGACGGTTACGCTTTGGGTTATTTCCACCCAGAAGCGACCTTTCTGAGATGGTTACACAGTATAATGCGGTGTACAGGGATTGGCTCGCCATATATAGCAACCCCATCCCCCTGCAATGTGTTGGTTTCCTTACTTGCTAGATTGATTTTATATGATTCTTGACTGATTTGAATCATATTTTCTTCCTTATTGGCCATGGGCCATCGTGAAAATAAAGAAAAAAAAATAATAATATATCTGGTCGGTTCATATGGTCCACACACACCTAAGAAGAGTAGTGGTCCGAGCGATTGATCACAACCGACCCCAGCTGGTACATTTCTGTTATCGAGGTTCGTGGTTTCTCGTAAAAAAGCCCCAAACCAAAAAAGCATTACTTGTATATAGGGCTGAAACAATTATACCGATAACTCGCATATCGATCGTTAAGAGTGCAATCGATAATCGTTAGTGTTCAAAACGAGTGCTAACGGTTTTTTATGCATGCACATCAGTGACAGTATTCTAGCCCTTGTACTCCATCCGATAGTGAAGACGAGTACAATCATGTACTTCTAAGCGCAGTAAAATTTATTATTGGCTTTGAAAGAGATCGGGAGAGGAGACTTTGTCTTTTCGGTTCATTTGTGGGAGAGGTCGGAGATAAGAGCAGTTGCCAGCGAGTGATGACAAGATACTTCACTCTAGAAACAACATGAAATTTTCTAGTTCATGTTGATAAATCAGCCAGATGTCAACAGTGCGGAGCCACAATTATGTACCGTAGCAAAAGGTATCGTGGAATTTCTTCATAAACTGGTGTTCGAAGTACACGGGTAGAGCAGACAAGAATCGACAAACCAATATATCGATCGTTAATGATATTGGTCGATCGTTAGGAGTTATTGAATGATCGTTTCAGCCCTACAGTTGTATAGTATAGTATAGAAACTTACCTCGATTTCAATTTTATCAATCTTCGTCTTCTGTTCGACAAAAATGGTGGTCAGTATCTTTACATCGGAGAGCAGTTGATTAATCTGAATGTCCCTAGCCTCCAGTTTCTCTTCCAGTCTCTTATTGTAGGTTTTCATATCCTCAATTTGGTAACAGAGTTCACTGTTGGCAGATGATCCGCATAAATCAACTGGAACAGCAAACAAACGCCGGCAAAATTGTAGAGCAAGTCAATGAAATACAAAAGAGAAATACCATGGAACTACAAGTTACGCTACACTGTCCACTAACACCACCAGTTACTAAACAATCCACTCATGCGATAACATTGCACGACACTGACCGACGGTACTGACGTTCTACAACTAACTGGCTAACAGCTCTAGCACATCTTAGATGCGCACTCCAACAGCCTTCCAACTTGGAAGGTTCTAAGGTATGGAAATAACACAAGGAGTGGAAGTTGAGCGCAACCAAGATAAGCACGAGCTGAAAGTCTCAGCTGTGAAGGACGTTGGCGGATGTTCATGCATGTCGATGACGATGCTGGCAAGACCATTGGACAATACGGTCAAACCACGATTCAAGAACGCAAAGCAACATTTCAGACAATTTCAGTACCGTCGGTCAGTGTCGTGCAATGTTATCGCATGAGCTGATTGTTTAGTAACGGGTGGTGTTAGTGGACAGTATAGCGTAACTTGTAGTTCCTTGGTCTTTCTCTTTTGTACAAATTAAACCTTGGCTCTCCATCGAAGTTACTGAAAAGAAGTTTTATTGCGGAGAGCAACACACAGGATTTATTCTTGCGTTTTCAAAATTAAAATCCCTGAATATTAAATCTCTGGATGTCTTATATTCGAAACTATCCATATCTATCTTGGAGAAAACGCATGCTGGTGTTGTAGATATACATGTACCCTGCTGCATTTGGCTGTGGAAGTATCTTGGCTAACCCGTTATATGTTGCGACTCAAACCCTGATATGTACCCCAGCATGGCTAACTCGACAATTTGGCAAAGCCTGAAATATCACTACAAACAGACGGCGCAAACTCTTGGACTCTTACTTTGTTTGAAACGAGACCCGAATGCATCAGCATACTCAACATGCTGTTGGATTTATAATAGGGAAAATTCTCAATCTGCGGACAGAACTGTTTTGTCCTTTTGTGAACTCATTATCGCGGTACAGAGAAAATAGGGAAATTCCTAAAGAAAATGACACGTTGTGTTGGTTTAGGATATGACTTGAACATTGGAACTTCGCTTTACGCAAGCAATGCTCTACCCAATGAACTATGGTGTCGCCAGCATACCAGCTGAGACGTTTAGCACCTTCTGCAGATGTCCCCCAATTACCTTCGCAGATAACGTTAGTACCATCTCCCTTGTATCCAGATTGACAGTAACAAGAGTATGATCCAACAGTGTTATTACACATTGCATGTTCATTACACTCATGTACACCAGCTGTACATTCATCTAGATCTGTACAGAGAGTGAAGTGAATTACATGGAACACACATCATTACCTGCAGGTTGACAAGTAGTTGTATGGAATATGACAGAAACCAGAACCCTAGGACACTGCACAGTAAACCCTGGTTTAAACGACCAACCCACGGTACAAGCAAAAACGGTCGTTAAGGCCAGGTGGTCTTTAGAACCAGGTCCCACAACTTCTGTGTAGAACTGCCCTTGCATGAGAAAACGGTCGTCAAGAGCAGGTGGTCGCTAAACCAAGAGGTCGCTTACACCAGGTTCTACTGTACTTATTTGCTAATAAAACAGTACTAGGAAACAGCTCAAGAATGCACTAGTGCAACAATCGCTGGCCCTATCCTCCATCCTCCATGCGATCTCAATCGACAAGGTGTTACCTTCTGTATCCATCACACACTACGTGATACGAGTGTATGTAGTCACTTTAATGGCTAAAGAATGCAGCAACTTGTCCACTGAAGACGCATCGAAGACAGGAGAAGAGGTTGTGGGCTTCTTTTAAGACCGAACAGAATCGTTCACAATAAGTGAACCCCACTCTGCTGATCGGACAGGCTAGCGGTTTACTCACCATTGCACACTCGCCCATCACCTTTGAATCCCGTGTCACACTCACAACCGAATGATCCGTGAGCGTTGAAGCATGTTGCCACAGCTGGTTGATCACAGGTATTCAAGGTTGGTAGACTGCACTCATCAATATCTGTAGTGGATACATTGATTGAAAAAGAGGAATGTAGTAATGAGAAGGGACACATACACTCAGTAATTAACAACTGTCCATTACATGTATACTGTCAAGAAAAGGGGTGACAGATATGCGCCAAAATTAAAGGAAGATTTTGAACGATCTTTCACATGTTTCTGGTCTTTCCTTCCCAACATCCTTCGCATTCGCAAGACTATTGGTATTGAATTGGTTCGGAATATCTTAATTCCAATTCTCAAGGCCCAGAAATCCGCTCTTATCGATATCGTCGTTACTAAGTCTACATAGCACCTTACGAAGACCAGTATTGCGAATTACCAATAATTATTGTTAATTACACTCACCTGCATCACACCTCCCTCCAGTCAGTCCAGCTGGACAAACGCAAACAGCGGATTGCTGTGTAATGTTGAACACACATTCTCCATCAAGTGAGCAAGGTAGGTGCCTTGTTAAGTCAGTTGTGGGGCACTCTGGCGTTCGATCTGCAATGGCGTTCGCACAATAGCATGCCACATGCAAGGATTGTGACGTAGCCATGAAGCAGCCTCAAACCAATGATCGGCGAGGACATTGACCACGCTAGAATGTTGCTTCTGCTCCCTTCGGCTCATCGTGTATCATAATTGAGGACCTTTACATGCTGTTGTCCCCAAATATTATTATTATTCTCGGCTTGGCCAAATGCTCAGTTCGCAGTTGAGAAGATCTAACTGTTCTCAACACCGTATTTTTGATTCTGGTGTACATGTATTTTCAAGCCGTGGAATTGGTACTGCCATCGAATACATATCAAGAAAAATGTGTTACTTAGTAATGGAGAATTGAAACCAGTAATAGGTCATTGTATATCATGTGCATCGGACACATTCCGTAGATTGGCATTGCTCATGTCTGTAGAACCATCAAGTGACTAGTCGTAGAATTAGATCCACTTACAAATACAGTGTTTCAGGTCTGTTGCAAGCTGCGGTGCAAGACCCAAGATGAGACTTAAGACGAAGGTCCGTTGGAGTTTCACAACCTTCTCATCCAACATTGCTTGAATGGCAGCTGGTGTGCTGAGAATGGTGACAGCTCTTGCTCGACTAGAGTTGGCTTTCAGTAACCATTCAGTCATGCAATTGGTATCTTCAGTAACAATCGCCGCTGGGTTATCTATTGAGAAATCCAAACAAACAATTTTCAATTTACGTACTCTCGAAACACCACAGACACACTCTATGCTCAGTACTCCGTGCTTTACATTGACACAGCATTTGTTTGTGTCTATTTCACATGGATGCAGCTAATGGGATTTCGGTCTTTGACCACTTGGTGGTGGGTCTGATCTACTCACCTCCCACCGTTTAGGCGCTGCATCAGCGCCTTGATCCTAGAGAGTGGTAGCGTTCCCACGGCGGATGCGGAAAACTCTGCCTTCAGCCAAGTCTCACGCGAACCGTGAAATTTATTGTTATTTCACTTCGCACATCCAAAGGGAACTGGATGGAGTAAAGGCGAATATGAAAAGAAGTTAATTTGCGCGTGCAGTTTATACTATTTGCTTTGTGGTGGATAACGTGATATTTGAATGGTAACTTCAATGTGCTTCGATAGCCTTTCCTTTAGACGCTGGTCGTCTGGCAAATGAAAGCCAGTTGTGGGAGCTGGAGAGAACAAGACGCAACGTTGTGTACCATCTGACATGCACCTGCTCTGAGACGTATCTGTACATAATGTATGCTGGTAAACCTTGAAGTACTGTGGGAACGCAGCCGAAGGACAACGCGCCCAACAGGAAGACTGAAATACCCATACAGGCGTCACCATAGCAACATGTACTGGTGTTTGGTGACTAATGTTTTCGGAGATGTGTGTACCTGCCACTGAGTCTGATCGGACCAGGAAGAGGATACGGGAAGCGATGAAAATTCGCGCTTGGGCCAGAGAATGGACAAGAACGCATGCTGTGACCTCCTCTAAAGGTATACCATGCATATTGTTCATATTCCTGGCCCCAGTACAGCATTACTTGGTACAAGTAAAATTTTGTTTCTCACGGATAGGGGTACGTTTGCAGAGCTGGGCTTTGCGACTGCAGCTGTGTTCAAGTCACAATGGCATGTACATGTGCAGCCCACAAGTCGTTATTTAGCGCAAATGGAGTATTTAGCCTAGGAGTCGTGCTATTGTCACGACCCGCGAGTGTTGTCGCGCAAGCGTGCAAGGGTAACCGAAGTTGAACCACATCTAAATATAAGACTAAACTGACGAATGAACGCATGCTCGGCGATGGGCACGGGGGCCACGTGCACCTCCCACAAATTTTCAATCTGGGTAATTGCAATTGTAATGTATGCAAATTTGCTCTAAAATTCAAGAAAGGTTGCAAACAAATTGCAGAAAATTGCCGGGGGGGGGGCTCCCCTCGGCTCCCATGTACCCCCCTAGTTGGGGGGCCGAGCACGCCCCTGCATGAACACCCGGGCTGTATCTGATTCCTGAGAACTCACTCCAATCAAAACAGAAGAGAAGTGAAACGACTTGAAAAACACCAAGGCTCGCTCGTGCTGAAGTGAAAAGAAAAGACTGAAGTGTGAGGTAAATGCAGCGAGCATATAATTAACATTAATTATATCAACGCAAACTTAACGATGAGCTCAGCAGGTGGAACGAACAGTTACAGTAGCTGTGCAGAAGTTTGGAAAAGGAACAGCGGATCGGCAACAATAAAGACAGCTCTCTTGTTAGTTGTAATGGATAGTCTAAGCCTTAGGGCAACATCAAGATGTTGGCTGACAGTAATCAAAAGAAAAACCAGCTGTATAGTCAGCAATAACACGACTGTTAATGTTTGTATCTGATTCCTGAGAACTCACTCCAATCAAAACAGAAGAGAAGTGAAACGACTTGAAAAACACCAAGGCTCGCTCGTGCTGAAGTGAAAAGAAAAGACTGAAGTGTGAGGTAAATGCAGCGAGCATATAATTAACATTAATTATATCAACGCAAACTTAACGATGAGCTCAGCAGGTGGAACGAACAGTTACAGTAGCTGTGCAGAAGTTTGGAAAAGGAACAGCGGATCGGCAACAATAAAGACAGCTCTCTTGTTAGTTGTAATGGATAGTCTAAGCCTTAGGGCAACATCAAGATGTTGGCTGACAGTAATCAAAAGAAAAACCAGCTGTATAGTCAGCAATAACACGACTGTTAATGTTTAACATGTTTAACATGCACGTGCACATGAATATCTTCACAGGATACAACACTATCACTGTCGGTAAACGTAACGTTTTTTTGGCGATGTTTTATTCATATTTTAATCATATTTTAATGGGTGTTTTTTGCCCTCTCTTTCTCTCCGCCATCGCCATAGTGCGTGTAGGTGTGGATTACTATCTCCTCGCAGCGCTGTTTATTTGTAAACCCATCCCAGCGGTGCCCATCCTCATTTCGTTCATGATGATGTTTTGTGAACAAAAAACCACTATGCCCTAAAATGAATGTGTGAAATGCACTGATTGAGTGCGAGCCTGTGGTCCTATAGGATTCTGAACCAGATTTTCTAGTCACGAAATGCAGACATCTACCTAGTTTATCAACGTTAATGTCACCCTCTCTTTAGACGTTGCTCTGGCTTTTTTTACGCCACTCGGCTACTATCGTTTCGTCTAGTAGGCCTTGACGGATTATGCTAATATGTTCGTGAAATTATGCATTTCGCATTGCTGGAAAAATTGCAGAATTATGCTATTTTTATGCTAAAACTTAAAAGTTATCATAATTATTATGCCGCATTATGCTCACATATGCTGCTAATGCATAATTATCGTGTCCGTTCCCGAAGGGAACTCACGACGGCCGCTAACACCCGGTAAATCCTAGCGGCAGATGCAGCGCCTAACGGTGGGGGTGAGTGGATAAGTCTCACAACCACTGGCACAAGTGCCGAGAACGACCCCATTAGCTGCATCCATGTACCCCTTGTGCCTGGCCACAAGTTCCCAGTTGACTGTGGGTAGCAGCACGGCTGGGAAAACCGCTTCCAGGCAGGACTTGAACCAGGTACCTCTCGTATCTCAATCATGGTCTTTGACCAACCCACTGTGCCTGCCTGATAATAGTTCTGTGCAAAATAACAGGGGAATTTTTTGTAGAGGGCGTTGTACTGTAGCAGCAAAAGTTCAACGGGGTCCACGCACCGTCCGACCTAGCTACGACCATCACTGATTGTAGTGGACTGGACATGTTATCAAGGGAGTCGTAAACCTTCAACTTCCTAGTGCATCTACTTGAACTTATACTTGTAGAACATGTACAACTGTATGGAATTTGATGCGAACAGGCGGATTATTCCAATTTTATGCGATTCGTATGCAATTTGCCTCGAATTATGCGATTATTCGATTTTGGTAGGAATTATGCGAAATAGTATGCTAGCATAATCCGTCAAGGCCTATCGTCTAGGGGGTTAGACAAGGGAAAGTAGGCATGTAGGGGCGTGTACCCGCCTTTCGGCATCGGGAATTTTTGGGATATAACTGTTATCACTGTGTTTCAAGTGCGCTTTAACGCTATTCTCTTGATAATAATGTAGTTCTCTTTGGTTTTCACTCGGATACTGAGCCAGTAATTAATGTAAAAAGGAGAAGAAAACACGTGAGATCGGGTTATGCACGTTATGCGCTATCTGGATTTTTATCATTATTGTTACAGTCGTGGATAGTTGTGGCATAACTAGTTCTCATGTGTTTTCTTGCCTCTCTTTGGTGCTTGCCTTTACATAGTGTATGCTTTCATCCCTCTCGTCTCACTGTATATTTCTCTCTTTCCCTTTTCCTTATCTCCCCTTGTGCATAATTCTTCATTACATAACATTTCCTCTTTGTAATGGTTACCACCTCCGTCATGCTTTTGTTTCATTTGTTCATGTTATTCTACCTCCACATTATACTGGCAGAGACAGAGACGTAGAACACAAAAGCGACAAAACCCAACTTGAAGGGTAGTTGGCCGCAGGGAGATGTGAACCGGACACCGAGTGTCGCTTGACAAAAAGGACTGAGAACAGAGTGTCTCAGACAGAAAACGATGTGCATGCGGAAAAATGAAAGATGCCATGAGGCAGAAGTACTTGAGACCGTAATAATCTGACGTGGTTCTGCATCATGGCCTATATCTATTTTCCTGGACCGAAGTAGCCGAAAAGAACAAACCTGGGACGCAGTAGGGACGGAAACTCAAAACCTGGTGAGACTCAAAACAGACTGAAGAAGTCAATAAAAGAAAGGACGAGAAAGAACACGCCAGATGCCATATCAGCAACCGAAAACGTGGCACCAGAAATCATTTCTCGCCTTTCGCGCTTCGCTCGGCCGGCGAGAATTACAACCTTGTAATTCATTTGGAAAAAATGTCAGAAAACTAGTCCATCAGTTTCGGAGTCCCTATTGAGGGTCAGCATATTAGTAGAGATGAAAAGAGTAAGTTATCTTTCCCTTACTGTTCGCAGACTTTACTGTTTAGTGCGCATGTTCAATGCTTCTACTTCAAGTAAATGAAATCCAGACCCTGCACTCAAGTACGCACTGGATTTCATTCTATTCGCGGCAGACAAACTTATACAATGCAATAATACTGTCAAGATACGCAACAATGAAAGACGAGAGGATATTTAAGTAAGAATAGAAACAGCAGTTGAAGTTCAAAGCATCAGTCAGGGAAGTGAACCTCCTGCAAAGAGAAACATATGGCAGGTCAAACAGGACTCGAACCCGGGACCCTTGCTTGTCATGATCAATACTCTAACCACCTGAGCTTATGTACCTGGATGAATCCAGAAGGCGCTGTTGTTCACTCCAAAAAGTATTAGCATTAATGTTGAAGGATAAAGAATATTCAACCAGTCATACAGAATTCCTATCCAGTATTAAGAATGAACTGCATCAATTGAGTTCTCACATACGAGCAACCTGGCGAGGGGGGGGGGGGGGGCGGGGGGGGGGGACTCTGCAATAACCAGCTCAGCAGACTCTGGATTCTGAACACATAGCTCACGTAAAAGACCTCGTGAACTTCTCAAACATATGAAACATGATCTCAGCAGAGCAAATGAGAAAAAGGCACTGGATGTAGGATATTATACTATGTTGATATCACATTGGAGTATTACTCCTTCCTCCTGTCCACTCTCCAAAGAAGTGATTCGGCCATAGAGCACTGTAGCCGCTGTTCCCACGTCGACGGCACAACCAGCAGGAACATGGTATGCTCTACGATTGCTGTCTATTTGGTACATGGGCAGCGCTGCGCAATGAAATCCTGTCTCGACACTCAAGTACATCTACACGCAGTGGGAGTTGTGCAGACCTACGCCTGCAAACACTAGGCTGGGAAAGGTTGCAAGGCGCAAACGTGAGTGACGCTCTGGATTTCATTGAGCATCACTGTACCGGTCTGAGCTGTACATGATTGTACATGTACGTAGCAGACTCAGCGGAGGACATTCAGGTAACTGGTTGTTACTCTGAGTTTCATGCCGCTAGGCAATCATCAGACAAGCTATGTTTCTGACATTGAGCACTCTCTGTAGCTTGGGGATCAGCGGATTCGATTGTATATGTAGGTATTAATTGTACGTACTGCCTCTCTGGTAATATTGACAAGTGCCTGTCATATGGCTGTCAACAGGCCAGCTCTATGCCAGTTCACTGAGCAGAGCATGACTGCAATACTGTACAGAGGTCACGTACGCTTGGGTGTTTACCGGTATATGTTTGATTTTATCAGGCAGACTTTACTTCCGCTACAAACTGCTGCGACGTGAAGTGATACGTAATACATGTACCCGGGACATGACATAGTACTTGTAGGAGTAGAATGTACATGTACATACATATTGCTTGCGTCACGGAAAGCATTGCTGCGAAACATTATTTTGAGCTGCTTTACACTTTGACTCTGTCACTCTATAATAATACGACGGCCCGTTGAGTAGGATGCTCGTGGTTCGACAGTTATGTGTAGTATGCCTCCGATACTACGTACATTTGCACAGGAGAACGCGTTATCAGAGCATAATTATAGAAAGGCAACAGCAGGCAGGGTCGTATCTCTTTTAGTTGTACATTGCATTCCATACAAATCCCCCACTTGTTTGTTCTTATAGACAACACAGGCGAGAATGTGACGCATCTACAACATACCTTGTGAGTGACCGTTATCAATCTGTTCATCAGCAACGATGTGCTGCACCACTGGTGTTGGTGTAGCCATAGCCTGTCCACAGTTCACCGTCATCACCAGCAGCAGCAGCAATGGAGCCAGATACAGTGGTAGGTATGCCATAATACTGCCTAGCTGTAGGCTGCGCATAGCTACACCTGATACCAAAGGTTAGTTCACAGTATCACTAACAGACTACTGGATCAGTTTAGGTACTCCATACAATTGACTCTTCGAAAAATGCCTTGCAAGACTTTGTAGCCAACCGTGGCGAGGAGCAGGTTGCGAGAAGCAGCAAAGATTTTCGCCCCGGGACTGTGCATATGCATGTACATGTTAATGATGACTTAAAGCGGGTACTGTAAAATCATGCCTTTCACTGCACAGCATATCCAGTGTGGCCTTGGTAGCTCTAAATCCGTGCCAGGAACGGATCGCACGCTGACAACACCAAGCACTACTTGATAGTCTGGTAAACACTAGGAACGGTAGTCGGTTTGGGTGACAAAGCGATATGCCTTTTACATGTATGATTAATTATGCGTACTTGACATACACTCTTGGATTTGCTAGATTTAAACCAGGACAGAGTCGAGACTTCGCTGACTTTGGAATCCAGTTGTCATGGTATACAATGCTGGTAATGCACTATCGCCATCAAATCAATCACTACAGTTTTAAGGTAACACGGTCACAGGTACTGAACGGACTGTGATGTCTCATCAATGAACTTGCCAATACGGGTACGGCAGGGCTACAATCCAAACTGGACTCTCTGAGTTTTCAACACCTGCCGGCACTCCCCGGTGGGTTCCGTGCCCGGTCATATACTGCCTGCACTAACCAAACTGGGCTCTCTGCCCCGTGAATCATCGCCGGTAAATCCCGGACTGGGCTCTGTGCCCGGCAATCTCTTGCCGATACTGAGAACAGTGTCAACAACATGCAGCATGAGGGCGTCGCTATCACACCTGTGGATCATCATTACAGTTTTCAATGCTCTGACCATGTAAACTGTTTTACCTGGCTGAATCCAGAAGGCGCTGAAGAGTTGTTCACTCCAAAAATCAATTAGCCTCAATTTTGAAAGGTAAAGAATACACAACCATTCTTACAGAACTCATATCCAGTATCTGCAATAAAAATGAACTGCATCAATTGAGTTCTCACATACGGGCAACCTGGGCCTCGGACCCAACCAGCTGAGCAGACTCTGGATTCCGAACACATCGCTCACGGAAAAGACCTCGTGAACTTCTCAAACATTATGATACCTGATCTCAGCAGAGCAAATGAGAAAAGGTACTGGATGTAGGATATTATTATTATGTTGATATCACATGGGAGTATTGTTCCTTCCTCCTTTTCACTCTCCAAAAAAAGCGATTTGGTGATTGAGTGGTGTAGCCGGTGTTTCCACGTCGACAGCACAACTAGCAGGAACATGGTATGCTCACAACTAGCAGGAACATGGTATGCTCCACGATTGTTGTCTATTTGGTACACGGGCAGCGCTGCTCAATGAAATCCTGTCTCGACACTCAAGTACATCTAAACGGAGAGGGAGTTGTGCAGACCTACGCCTGCAAACACCGGGCTGGTAAAAGTTGCAAGGCGCAAACGTGAGTGACGCTCTGGATTTCATTGAGCATCACTGTACCAGTCTGAGCTGTACATGATTGTAAATGTACGTAGCAGACTCAGCGGAGGACGTTCAGGTAACTGATAGCTACTCTGAGTTTCATGCCGTTAGGCAATCAGCAGACAAGCTCTGTCTCTGACATTGAGCACTCTCTGCAGCCCGGGGATCAACGGGTTTGATTGTATATATATACGTATCTTGTACGTACTGCCTGTCCAGTAATATTGAGAAGTGCCTGTCATATGGCTGTCAACAGGCCAGCTCTATGCCAGAACACTGAGCAAAGCATGACTGCAATACTGTACAGAGAGCACGTACGCTTGGGTATATACCGGTATATGTATGATGTTATCAGGCAGACTTTACTTCCACTACCAACTGCTACGACGTGAAGTGATACATGTACATGTACATGACATTATAAAATAATTAAAAAAAAATTACTTGTAGGAGTAGGATGTACCTGTACATACACATTTAGTGATTGCGTCACAGAAAGCCTTGTTGTTAAACATTATTTTGAGCTACTTTACACTTTGACTCTGTCACTCTATAATAATACGATGCCCGTTGAGTGGGATGCTCGTGGTTCTACCGTTATGTGTAGTATGCCTCCGATACTACGTACATTTGCACCGGAGAACGCGTTATCAGAGTTTAAAGAAAGGACCCACCAGGCAGGGTCATATCTATTTTAGTTCTACATTGCATTCTATGCAAATCCTTCTCTTCTTTGTTCTCATAGACAACACAGGCGAGAATTTGACACATCTACAACATACCTTGTGATTGACCGTTATCAATCTGTTCACCAGCAACGACGTGCTGCACCACTGGTGTTGGTGTGGCCATAGCCTGTCCACAGTTCACCGTCATCACCAGCAGCAGCAGCAATGGAGCCAGATTCAGTTGTAGGTGCGCCATGATACTGCCTAGCTGTAGGCTGCGCATAGCTTCACCTGATGATACCAGAGGTTCGTTCGCAGTATCACTAACAGACTGCTGGGATAGCTAAGCGACTACACACAAAAGACTGTTCAAACAATGCGTTGCAACTCTTTATAGCCGATCCTAGCAAGGAACTTGTTGCGATAAGGAGCGAATCAGCGAAGATCCCCACCCGTGGCCGTGCATATTCGTGTACGTGTTCATGATGTCTTGACGGGGTTGGTGGGAGCTTGCAGTGCACAGCAGCCAGCGCGGCCTCTGGGGCTCCAAACTGCGTGCCAGGAACGGATCGCACGATGTCAGCAGATGTCAGCAGATGTCAGCACCTCCCATTCAACATGACAGTCTGGCAAACACTAAAACAAGTACATGTAGTAGACATGCATGGCAAAGCGCTATGCATTTTTGTACTGCAAGTAATACTTACAATGCAATATTCACAGGTGTGCTTGGACCTGCAGCCAAAAGCTAATACGATTGTGCATTGTATCTGTAACGCACACTCTTGAATGTGACAGATTTCAACCAGGAGAAATTCAAGACAACACTGACTGTGGAATGAACTGGAATGCAGTTGTCATGTTATACAGGCTAGCAATGGGTTTTCACCATCAAGTTCAACCACGTGACTACAGTAAATCAAGTGGCATTGCCACAGGTACTGAATGACCTGTAATCTCTGGCATTAGATCTTCTGACGGTATGGATACTGCCTGCATTCTCTGACCGGTTAGCTACAACCCGGACTTTACTCTCTGACCGGTTAGCTACAGCCCGGACTGTACTCTCTGAAGGGTTCGCTACTGCCCGGACTGTACTCTCTGACCGGTTAGCTACTGCCCGGACTGTACTCTCTGACCGGTTAGCTACAGCCCGGACTGTACTCTCTGAGTGGTCATCTACTGCCGGTACTAACCGAGCTAAGCTCTCTGACCGGAGATCCACCGCTAACATTACCCGGACTGGGCTCTCCGACGGGCAATCTATCGCCGTTACCTCCCGGACTGGGATGTTGGACCGGTGATCATCTGCCTGTACTGAGAACAGCGTCAGCAACATGCAGTCCGAAGGCCTATCACAAGAAGTAAATCTTCAGTAGTGGTCATATGTTTTTTTTGTGACCAGACGAAACCAAGAGACGCGTGCGGCCACCAGCACGAACATTTCATCAGCGACACTCCACGACAGCTAGAAGTTGCTCCTGACAAGCCCTGTTTCGTTCCACTATGATGTCTGAAACTTATAGAAAGAGTAGCAGATGTTGATTGGAACGGGTTGAACTAAATCATACTTACAAATTGAAGTTACAATTCGCCTCTATATCACACACTAATTTCTACCCACCACCGGATCATTACATTTTTCGAGCTCTGTGAAGTATTTTTCTTGTGCAGCTGGCAACTTTCAAATGCGACATTAGACGTTAAACGTCCAAAAACATTTTGTTGGCAGCCACTTGTGTTCTACATTGCATCCCTCTTTCTCACCACAGCAGTATAGCAACCTATTTGGTGTACCTCTCTTTCTCAAATATTGTAAATAGAGAACCCCCGACACAAGCGTTTATCACAAAAGGTCATTTTTCTTTCTTACTGACCGGTTTCATCTTGTTAAAGAATCATCAGAGTGAAAGGAGAAAAGAAAATACATGCTATTAGTAGGGCCAACTCACTTGGCCAAAACTAACTATGATACAAGTGGACCCATCAAAGCCGCTGGGAGCCCAAAGAGGCGCAGGGGTAGGGGTAATTGGATTGTGATCATGAAAGCATGCAAATGTGAAAGGTGCCGTGTTGGGACTATAGTATACAAATTTTGTTATAATACAGTACACGGGAAGTTTTGGCAGTGTCCAAATTTGGACACTGCCAAAATATTGTAAATAGAGAACCCCCGACACAAGCGTTTATCACAAAAGGTCATTTTTCTTTCTTACTGACCGGTTTCATCTTGTTAAAGAATCATCAGAGTGAAAGGAGAAAAGAAAATACATGCTATTAGTAGGGCCAACTCACTTGGCCAAAACTAACTATGATACAAGTGGACCCATCAAAGCCGCTGGGAGCCCAAAGAGGCGCAGGGGTAGGGGTAATTGGATTGTGATCATGAAAGCATGCAAATGTGAAAGGTGCCGTGTTGGGACTATAGTATACAAATTTTGTTATAATACAGTACACGGGAAGTTTTGGCAGTGTCCAAATTTGGACACTGCCAAAATGCAGGCATGTAAGCCTGCAAAAGTTTTGTGATTAAATAAAGTATGGAGGAAGAATGTGGAGAAATGCTAGATCTATAGTCTCTAAAAGCTTAAAAAACGAGAACGTTTCAATATGAGAGTTGTTTTGTTCTACGAAAGAAGATCTCTACGTTAGAAGTTGAGAAAGATTCTTCTAATATCGTTTTTAGGCGATTATTTGCAAAGTGAGGATGATAGTCAGTTACAAAAGTAATCTTACGTCTATCTCTATCAGCATGTTTCTTACTATTCTGTTTAGGTATAACAGAAGGTGACGGCTCGATACTTGCGAAGATGCGAGCCAAGAAACGGGGTGGATAGCCTCTGAGACGAAGTCTGTGCCAAAAACGCTCACGAATAACAAGCACATCACATAGTAATGAATTTGTTCTATTATAACGAACAAGTTCAGCTATAATAAAAGAGCGGAAGTTTGACTTTGGGTGATCAGACTTGAAAGGAATATAGAGATATGCATTTCTGGGTTTTTGGTGGGTCCGATATAACATGTGGCAATTATTCTCTGAAAGTACTTTGAAAATTTCAAGGTCTAGGAAAATGCACTCGTCACTAACGTCTGACCAAGTGAGATGTATGTCAGGAAGTGTAGAGTAGAGAGATTGCTTAAGTGTGTCAATGCAAATGCACTCATCGATAATCATAAACAAATCATCAATGAATCTATCAAACAGGTAGATAGACTTTTGGAAAAGTGCTATAGACTTCTTTTCGTGTATGTAAAGAAAGACATTTGCGACGTTTACTGCCATAGGTGTCCCCATTGCCATGCCGTGTTGTTGGTGGTATAAAACATTTTCAAAATTGAAAAAATTGTTTTCCAGAACAAAAGCAATTAGTTCGACTAAAAGGGTCCTTAAAGGATGATCAAGTGTACTAAGGAACTGATCAAGGGCTGCAGTAGTATCGGCCCAGCTCATGTTGGTGTACAGACTAACAACGTCAGCAGTAACAAGTTTACTGTTAGCTGGAAAAGTTGAGCTTTCAAGTTTAGAAGATAAACTATACGTATCTTGAAGAACAGTGTCTGTATGTTTACCAATAAGAGACTTGAGATGAAAATCAATAAATCTAGATGCTGGCGAGGTGCAATATCCAATACAGGAGACAATAGGTCTGCCTGGGACTAAGCCTGCCACTAGTTTTTTATGTATTTTCGGAAGCATATAGAATTTAGCTGGTTTGAAAGGGAAACAACTAAATAGTGCACTCGTGTCGGATTTGGAAAGAAAGGCAGAATGTTTTTTGCAAATATTTGACAATTTTGAGTGCAATGTATCATGCAAAGATTGGTTGTCAGCAGACATAACAGCATAATATTTCTCGTCAGCTAGTTGACGAAAACCTTCTGCTAGATAGTCGTCTCTATTTAAAACAACGGTGCCAAGATTCTTATCTGCATTGCAAATAATGATATCTGTTCTGTGTTTAAGACAGTTGTATGCTGAGAACTCACTTGGTGTCAAATTATGAGAACGTTTGCTTGTAATTTTTGCAGCAGCAACACTGGAGGTAAGCCTATTACTGAAATCAAGAAGCGAATATTCGACATGTGGTAGAGCAGTGGGTGGTACTTTCTCTGAAGGAAGGTGAAATTTACGGATGAACGAGCTATTGGACACTGGAGGTCCCATTCTAGCAAATAAGTCATTCCATCTAGCTCTACGTGTTAGTGAGTTAATATCATTCAGTAGTGAAACAGAAGAGGGAAGGTACGTACTGGGACGAAAACTAGAACCATAGCCTAGAATTTGTTTTTCAATTTCAGTGAAGGTACAACGAGAAAAGTTATGAAAACCAGAGTTAAGAACATAAGTAGAATGGGTACTTAATTTTAAGTTCCAAACAAATCTTAGTCTTAAATCTCTTATCGACTTCTGCCCTTTGGGGGGCTGACTTTCCTTCTGCCCGACGAGGCCTTCACCACAAAGTTTTTTGTCTTAGTGGACTTTGGTTTAGTGGGCTTTGGTTGATTAGGTATGGTTTTCTTCTGTAGGACAGCATTCCCTTTTACTTGGCGAGCCACTTCCTTTTTAATTAAGGTGCCAATTTCTTCTGTAGTCGGTGGGAGTGCTGTGACGTCCATGGGTTTTACTGGTTGTTGTTTTGGTGTTTTCCGCTCAGCAATCTTAGAGAGACGCAAGTTCTTTACTATGTTGGTAGCACATTTCAAGCTTTGGAGGTAGTCGTACCGATATAGGATCATGCTTGCAAAGTCTGCAGCTTGCTTATCATCCAATAGCGTTGTCACAACATCATCCATGTCTCTCTTTGCTTCGTTTGTAATTGTATTGGCTCTATCGATTTTCTGTTTGCAGCTAGCTATGCCGGTGTCAACGTATGCGGTACACTCGTGAAGCCTAGCTTTATCAGACATTTTGGAAAACTTGTTCAGAATGTATTGCTCAAAGACTTGGCTGGTAGACTGAATCTGCAGTTTGTCCAATTTTCCTTGCTGTTCGATGACAATTTTCTCACTTGTAGCAATGCGGTTTATGCACCACGTCACATACCTCTCGAGTTCAGCGTCCGGTAGCGGTGAGGCGCCAAGCAGGAGCGTTGATGGAGGGGAGTCAACATCTTTGACATCATCATCTTTGACATCATCATCGAAGATCACGTCGTCGTCATCAGCAGGAAATCTAGTGCGTTTCGGTGGGCGAGGAGAGCCGTCTGTAGCGGGTTTCTGTCGGCCCATGCCGAGTTTGGCCTTAGCGGAGTCCATACCAAAGGGTTTGGAAAGCTTGAGGGAGGTCTATAACGGAACTTAAATATTGTAAATAGAGAACCCCCGACACAAGCGTTTATCACAAAAGGTCATTTTTCTTTCTTACTGACCGGTTTCATCTTGTTAAAGAATCATCAGAGTGAAAGGAGAAAAGAAAATACATGCTATTAGTAGGGCCAACTCACTTGGCCAA